TGATGGCTTATTTGTCAAAGTATATCTGCATACAGTTAGAGGGTCAATAATGTGTGTGTTAATGCAGTAAGAAGACATGAGGACGAACAGGAAACACGTACTACACTGTTCTTCCTGAATGCGTCATGATATCCAGAACATTTCACATTCCAGACAGAGCTGATTTCTGTGTTTGGACAGTTATTGTTAATATTTGTTGTAACTAATCATTGTGTGTGTGCTAATCTGACTGATCTGGGTGGAATAATTGATTGTTACAGGACATTAACAAAGTCTCATCTCAGTGTGGCTGTAATGTGATGAGAAAGCATTGGAGGAACTGATGATCCCTCAGATCTGAGGCTTCATACCATTACATAATGTGTTATAGCGTTAATAAAGAGCCATGGGAGAAGTAAGCCGAAGGGTGCACATGGAATATATAAGCCTCAAATGTATATTCCATAAGCTTTTTGAAAAGGTTGGGATCAGTACAAAGTAACTCTCAGAGTGAACACCGCCTGAGGAACTTGACTCAGGGCAGCAGAGGAGGTGGAAGTTGGTCTGCTGAGCTTTGCTTTGGCCTGTGTGTGGATGCTTTTTCAAGTATTTGGCATTTGGCAGTGTGGGAAAGGGTTGAATTTGTTTAAGTTCTTGCAATTACTTGCTCACACACTGAACAGCTACAACATTAAAGTCATCTGTCTAACATTGTGTAGGTTCCCCTCGTGGCATCTAAATAGCTCTGACCTTGTTGGTGCTCAGACACAGGACCTCTGAGAGAGTGGTTCCTTTAGGTTCTGTGTGGATCAGGTTTGTTCTGTAGATACTCAATTAGATTGGGATCTGGGGGGTTTAGAGGCACCTTGAGCTCTTGGTTGTGTTCCTCAAGCTGTTACTGAGCAGTTTTATCAGTAATGCAAATTGCATTGCTCTGTTGGGGGACGTCAAAGCCACTATCAAGGAGCGCTGTTGCCGTTAAAAAGAACTGGAACAATGTTAAGCTGAGTGGTTTATGCTAAAATAATATTCACATGAATTCTAGGATCCAAGACTTTCCAGCAGAACAATGCATTGTAATGATCTGACCAATGTCATTCACTTCAGCTGTTGGTGGATTTGATGTTGTGGCTGATTTATGTAAATTCCTGACTTTAAAGACATGGCACACAATAATGCAAAGCTATCACTGTATATAAAAAACATTGCTCAGCAGTAATTTTTTAGAGTTTGCAGCTGTTGCACACCGATAGGACGAGGTGTTTCATTTTCTGACAGTTGAAAGGTTTGAAAGATGTGGTAATAGGCTCATTTTTCCAATGTGCGATCATTTAGAGAGATGTACAAAAGTCTTTTTGCTGCATTTGCTGCACTGTTGTTGGAGCGTGCTTTGTCAAGATGATTTTTTTTTTCTTGCTATTTGTTCCTACTTGAAAACTACATTTTGATTCGGATGCTGTAGGTAGATGTGTCTATATCCAACAAGAAAATTGGAACTGAACGAATATATTCAACTATGAAGAGGAAAAGAGACCAATCTCATGGTTTAGGCTGATGACAAAGACAAGACAATGAAGCACATTTTTAGAGTTTTGTGATGTAAATGTGGTGTTACAGTTTAGTTGCAATTGTTTTTACATATAATTGTATACCTTAAATAAACCAGGCGTTTAAAACTACACTCAATAAAGCCACTTTGACAAAACTAGATGAATTGACTTCTAACGTTGCACCAACAAAACAACAAGAAGACTAGTAACTGGCAGCACTGATTCTGTCTCATTAACAAATCTGCACCTCTTCATCCCTAGTCACGATTGATTTCATGTGCAAACACCATGGACTATTTCTGTCAATCTAGATCCCCCACCCGCCCTGCGAGTATTAACCTTTTAACCAGCTGCACGGCCACCTTCGCTCTTTCAAAAGCATCCGCAGAAACTCTCATGAAGCTCAGCCAACGCTCCGTAAACACTACATAGCCCGGAGACAGGTGCAGTTTTTGTTGCAGATTAAAAGTCCAAATCAGCAAGTTGTTTGAGCGGCGAGCCAAGAGAAGCTTGCGTGGAGGCCCGAGGCGCCGCACGGCAAATGAGTCAGAGAGAGAGGATGAGGAGCAGGGAGAGATTGGAGGAGAGGAAGACAAACGGTGTGGTTTAAAGAGGAGAAAGAGACAGATTTAGGGCTGAGTTTAGGTGAGGAGGGGGCAGAGAGAGGAAGAATGAGAAGAGTGAAAGGGAAAAGAATTAAAAACTGGAGAGAAGATGAGAGAAATTGACTTTAGAATCATTTAAATTTCAGTTAGAAAATGAACAAAGCTCATGGTGGGTTGCTCCTTTACTGCTGTTTTGTGAGTCAAACGTAAGGTCACGAATGCAAACAAACTCACATGCACCATTTATCCGCATGTGACAGTCGTGGGTGTTGACAAATGGGATTAAATTGGACATCAAAACAGTTTCATGCCAACAACATCGTCCCTGCTGGGGCCACTTTTTGGCATCTGTGACACTGTTACTCACACACATCATCACACCTACAGATAGTTAACAGAGAAGTGGCCAAAGGGACCCACTCTTCTATTTGGCAGGTTGAGTGTGAACAAGCTGCCGCTGGCTGTCGCTGTCAGGTCAGTCTTGTGTGTTTTGTTACGTGTTTGTTGTGTTACCTGCGCATTTACGTATGTGTGTGTGTGTGTGTGTGTGTGTGTGTGTGCGTGTGTGGTACTAGGAGGTGAACACATGTGCTTCACTGGCAAAACAGAGGCACTAGTGTTTGAATTATTGATCAAGGGAATGAATACCATCAATAGTGTAAGCTCAGCAAATGCACAGGGATCGGAAACGTGTTTATTCAAAGTGATGTCTGCATGTGTGTGTGTGTGTCTGCATGGAGAAATGTGTCATCAGCATTAGGAAGGAGGTGCAGAAGTCCAGCGTTGTGCTTCTTCAGCTGTATGCACTCACATATGTGTTTAGATGCATTTATTGCAATCGAGCGCATCAAGTGCTGAGTCCAAATGTGACCATATTGCACGTACATCGCGCAGCAAAAAGGCCGCCAGTCAAATGCAGCTGCTCTTTTTTTTTTTTTTTTTCTCAAGGATGCACTGAACAAAATGCATAAACATACAGAGTGAAGATGAGCC